AGAATCATCTGAATTGATGATATGTGAAATTTCAATGCATATTTTTTTTTCAGATGGAGGATATCACAGTTTCATGTGAAGGGAATGCAGATGTACATATACCTCTCCCTATAGCACATGAGTGTGTCATAGAACACACATCAAACGAAAACTGTTTTGAGGAACCTTGCTCCAAGACTGAGGACATTTCTTATGGAAACTGCAGTAAGTGTAATGAATTGTATGTTTCATTAGCATAATTCTGAAATGTTCTATGCAATTTAACTTTTTTGTTTTTGTAGTATACATGTATATCAATTAAACTTATAATATAAGTTATTATTATTATAGACCATGACCATGTATACAGCAAACGGTCTGTGGAACCTAGGTGCAGTGAAGATTTTGTTGAGTTTGCTGTGCAGACGGACCTGACCATGGAGGATATACATCATATGGAAACTATGACCAAAGAGACAGAACATATCCACAGGGAGCAATTTGTCAATAGAATTACACGGTCCGACTCGGCAGTCAGAAGATATTTAGGAGTGCCTAGCATAACTATGCTGTTTGGATTGTTTGGTAAGAAATTTGAAGATATAGTTTAAAATTGACCTAATACTGCTTAATATGTATTTTCTTAATTGCAGCTAATATTGATAAGTACAATATTTGAATACTTTGCAGTATTTTGTATGTTTGTTTTTGGATAAAATTTTATTTCTGCTTACAGCAATACTTGACAAAGTATGCACCAAACTCAAGTACTGGTCAGGAAAGAACAGCATAGCAAACATGAATTATGAAACCTCTGAAGCCAGAAAACCAGGTCCAAAGAGGAAGTTGACAAAGTTCCATGAGTTTTTATTAACCCTTTTTCGACTAAGACTTTCTGTCCCAGCCTTTTTGATTGGTGATTTGTTTGGTGTATCAGAGACACGAGTTTCACAAATAGTGTGTACATGGATAAACTACATGTTCCAGGTTTTCAGACCTCAACTGAAATGGCCATCACTACAGAGCATCAGAAAACATATGCCAAGGTCTTTCAAACAGACATTCCCCCGTACAAGAGTTGTCATAGACTGTACTGAAATATTCATTCAAAAGCCAAGGACACCTACTGCTCAAAGCCAAACATACAGCAATTACAAAGGACATAATACATTTAAATGCCTTGTTGGTATAACTCCTACCGGTGCATTTTCTTATGTGTCTGAATTGTGGGGCGGCAATGTGTCTGACAGGTACATTACAGCCAATAGTGATTTCTTGGATTTGATATCTGCTGGAGATGAGGTGATGGCTGATCGGGGTTTCATCATAAGAGACTATCTATTGGAGCGAAGGGCAAAGTTGGTTATACCACCATTTACACATAAATGTCGATGGGGAAAAGGGAAACGGTTAAATGCTAGTGAGATTCGGCGAACAAGACAGATAGCGAAACTACGGATTCATGTGGAACGTGCTATACAACGTTTGAAATCATATAAACTTTTATCGGGAATCCTACCAATCAACTTAAAGCCAATTGCAAGCCAGATTCTGGTTGTTGCTGCATTTCTATGCAATTTATCTAAACCTCTTGTGAAAAATTAACAAGATGCTTAATATTTTTAGTCCCCTACCGGTGAAACCGGAGGGGACTATAGGTTTTTCAATTTGTTATTTTGATTGTTGGTGTTACCTGAAAACTTTAGTTGTTGTTTTTACATATATTGTCTCATCATTGTTAATTTATCAATGTTCCATATTATACGTAAAGTATTTAATTATATTGTTAATTTATCAATGTTCCATATTATACATAAAGTATTTAATTATATTGTTAATTTATCAATGTTCCATATTATACATAAAGTATTTAATTACTGCATTTCATTTTTTTTATATTTAAAATATAAGTCAACAACATAAAATCATGAGTGTGTGGTTTTTATTGCTATCAGTTGTCATAATTTTTCAACCATTAGACAAAAGAAAAACAATACAGTGTACCATACATGATACAGCTTAATCTAAAGGGCATCAAAGTACAGTCGAGAATTTACATTCTAAATTTTAGCAAGCAGTGCAGGATGAACATAATTTATGAAAAAGGTGCTGCACTTGTTAACAATTTCATTGAAGAAAGATTCATCATAATGAATTCTATCACTTATAAAACCCATGTCTGTATAAAACACAAAGTCACACCATCTAGCATTACAAATACCAAGCTGTCCTTGAATTTGCACATACCACGGTGAATCTACCCTAAGCTTGACAACATCATTAGTGTCTCTATACAAATGATAATGACGGTCACTTGCTACATCATATGGTGTGTCACTTCTATGGGAGTAAGAGCATTTAACCTCAATTAAACCTTTTCCACAACATTTGCAAGACAAATATGCATCTGGTGATGCACCTAAAAATGGATGTTGCTGAGATATGTTTAAGCCACAAGGTCTCATTTTGGCATTTACATGATAATGGGAATACATGTCAAAAAACAATTGTTTAGCTACGATTTCATTCTGTCTTCCATACTTTATTGCATCAGTGTGTAAGGCATTGGAGTTAATATTCAGAATTTCACGTGTGATGTAATTATCATGACTACCCCCTCTAAAGTGGCATACTTTTGAAAACAAGGAAGATGTAATTCTACCATATCTGTATTTGTACCACAATTCATTTTCACTCTGACCACAAGTGATTTGCTCAACTTCTTGAATAATATCAGAATTAAACACATTTCTCAGATAATCTATCAAGGACTCTCCACTCTGAATTGTGTGTGTCACAGCATCTATCATATCAGGCGGATTTTCATGAAGATCTTCATCCTCATTTGAGGGTGGGTCTAATGTGTGTAAGAGAAGAGCACCTGTACCGTGACACATCCTATACAGTTCTTTCTCAACTTCTCTGTTAACCTCAGTGGTGGGTGTAGGGCATGGTTGGTAATCCACTTTGTTTGGCATCAGTGGAACTGTCCTGTGGGAAAAACAAATTTCCTTAACACGACAAGGCTTACTTTCCTTACGGGGCTTGTCCCAAACACACCTCACATCTGTCCCCACCTCTGTATGCCTGTCCTTATGGCGATCGCAAAAAGCTGCAAGAGCAAATGAAAGGGCCGTGCAGTGCTTGCAAGAACCATCATCCCTAAAAAGACAAAAAGTAGCATGTTAATAATTACTCCAATTTTGGGATTGACATTAATTAAATGATAAATACTATGAATATCATAAATAATAAAGCACAGAGCTGGACTTACGCAACACAGGAGCAGCCACCTGATATGATATAGCCATCAGTCTTCACCAGTAACCATGTCCTATAAGGATCCTCCGATTGACGGGTTTCTGGAGTTGTATTACACATGACATAAGAATAATCCGAATCTAATGGACACATTCGAACACTGTCAACATGGTTGTTCTGATACAACAAATAACCCTTGTCTACTTTGTAGGAATGAAGGCGATTTTGATCCCAACCAATATTAATTAAGTATACAAAAACATCAGCAATGTCTATGTCTGGTACCTTCTTTAAATCTCCATTCCAGTCACATAATTTAACCTGAAAAATGTTGTAAAACTCCAAATAAAATTCTGGATATTATAAAATCTCATATATTTGATGGTGGTGACAATTGGTAACGTTGATGCTCTCTCTCTCTCTCTCTCTCTCTCCCTGCTACAGCTTTAGTTCTGAGTAAACTCATATTCATTCAATTTACTTATTGTTGTATAAGATATATATGAGATTATTATGATTTTTTTCCAAAATAAAACTGTACCTCGCTTATGCTTGGTAACATCCGGTCTCCGACAGTTCTACGACGAACATCCATATTCACGTAATCATCTTTTGTTTCTATATCTTCTAGGTCTATTTCTCTTGCCAATTCACACAGTCTTATCAAATGAGCTTTTCTGTACATGGATGTTGTTATACCTTTCGTACTTAAGTAATACTTTAACGCTGGGACTTGATAACTATTGAAGTCTTCCATATTTGTTTACACGTTGCGTTGGAATGCGGAAGTGAATTATGCCCTACAATTACGTCTGTTAAGCGATAATATTCGAAGCGGATCCGTAACTCGAAAGTTCCGTATTAAAATGCACATAATTTCAACATAGCTTGGCAGTGGCAGGGCAAACATTTGACGGAAATGGCCAGTTAACTTGTTTATTTAACTAAAGGAAAGATAGTCATTTATCCCATAAAAATTATCTCTCTTATCAGAGGGTCAATGAACCTTAACAGAGGTGTAGATGGCTAATTATGACAGTTTTATTTACATAATTTAACTCTTTCGCTAAATTGTCCATGTCCTATTTGAAATTCTGCTAAAATGTCCTGCAGTATGATAATTATGTCCACAAATTTTCCGATAAAACGTCGATTTTTCCCGCTAAAATGTCTTGCAAACTAATATTTGAACCACCTCAATTAATTTCAATTTTAAGAAAAAAATCTTTATAGCTTTAGGCCTGATAGTTATACGTTATACGTTATAATTATACGTTGCAAAAGTTTTTAGAATCAAATAAATTATGTGCGCTATATGTGATCAGCAATGATTTGATTACCGAGATATGATAATTTTGATTTTGATAATTATGGCAATACAATGTAGAAACCGGGAGGGGGTGTGAAAGAAGCATTTTACTTTTATTCATTTTATTTCATTAGAAATAAAACAAAATCAAAAACAGACAAACAAACAAAAAAATCAAACTGATAACTTTGTTATTTAATATTTTTATTTGCACGACTGCAAATAAATTTCATTTCATTTTTTTTTATCTGAGTATTCCCCCTCCCCCATTTTTCCCCCAGGTGCCCCTCCCACCATCTCCAGTCCGCCAACTAGCATTTTATTGGGACCTGTCTAGATACCAGGCTCAGCAGCATAGTTTGCTCTTGATTAAAAAATATAATTTCATAATTTTTCATACTAGGGGAAGGGAGAGAACTTCTTTAAAAATAAGGCGGGAATAGCAGGGTTAAAGGTCATGCCATTTGTATACCCTGTGAGAGAAGATGGCCGACGATCAAATTCAGTTTGAAACACTTTTGAACACCTTATTAAATCCAGAAAACGACATCAGAGTTAAAGCAGAGGTAATATACAATTACGTTGTTTGTCTCTGTGAGAGAAAAGATTGAATCGTGCATTTTTCACTCGCGACGACCTTATTCGCCATACCACGTGGAAATGAATGGAGACATGTCACATTCGGAAGAATACCTTTTATTACGACGAACAGATAGATTGTTGTACAATATAGTGGTGTCAGTAATGTGGCTTATATGATCACTAAATACTTGAAGTTGGTAGTTTTAGAATGTGAGTGTGGTGGGAATAATTCGAAAGTTTTGGTCAAATGGCTTATTTCCACTTCCGGTCAGCACCCCCCCTTCTTTCCCAATCCCTAGGAATTGCTGAACATATGAATCATAGCATGAATGTTATGTAAACAATTTACAATATTCTAGGAAGAAGTTTTATGAAAAATGTATGAGTGTGATATTAATTTGCAGATATTTGAATGAAAACACCTGCAAACTTGAGTGATACAGTGACTTGCTGATCAGAAGAATTTTTTTATCTTTAGGCAGAGAGAATAGTATCTTGTTTCTAGGCCAATGTTAATTTAATGGTTTACTCCAGTTATTACATATGATATTTCTTTAAGGTTAAGACAGGATACTGTATACAATCCTGTAATATTGCTTGCATTTGTTATCTACTGGCACATCATATACAGTCAAACCTCGTTATCTCGAACCCAACGGGACCAAGAAAATACTCTGAGATAACTGAGGGTTAGATATCCAGGGTAAAATACTTAAGGAATTGGTGATTGGGACTTCCAAATTGCTTCTACTGTACGATTACACTTTAATTTCGACAAAATCATTATTTAAAGAGCCAGACAGAATTACAGCTTTGATTTTTTTTTGGTAGAAATTTCATGACTTAAATGTTGAGAGAGCGTTTTAGGGTGATATCTATTATAAAAATATGTTTAGGAACTTCTTTTATCTGAAAATTATCAACATTAAGAACTTCTAGCACATCATACATCCTAATGCTATCAGAAGTACTAAAACTTATCCTTAATATTTAAGAAAAGTGGAGAATTGAGCTGTTGTATATTTATAAAAGACAAGAAAATATAATAATAATCAAGAACAGTCCAACTAGAAATGCACGAAAGTAAAACCAACACACCATTTTGTCAATTTGTATTCAATGATCATAATGATATGTGCAGAGTTAGCAAATATCAAACACACCCAGGAAAACGTACACAAAAACAATAACAGAGCTGGAGCTCATATTTACAAACACAGGTTTTTGGTATACAGTTATGAAGAATGCCCTTGTCATAGAATATTAAGACTTTTAATAGTTAAAATCATTAAACTGAAGTTTTTTTAGGTTTAGTGAAATTTAAAGTTAGAAACAAAATGACAATGCAAGTTTATCTGTGCCCCTTTTAACATTTTAGTAAGATTTGATTTTTCTACTTTCAGGAAGCATATGATGGTGTACCTTCAGTTTCCAAATTACCATTCCTTGTAACAGCCTTGAAAAACAAAAATTTGTCTGTGGAGGTACTACAAGACTAAAAGTCTTGGAACATTCTAAACTAATTTATTTCATATAAACGTCATCAAAACAGAGTTTAATAAGTTCATTGAGAGAGCTGTTCTTACAGGTTAGGACTCTTGCTGCAGTGCTGCTAAGACGTTTGTTTGCCAACAATTTCGAGGAATTTTGGCCACAGGTTCCTGTAGATATTCAGAATGCTGTCAAAGATCAAGTCCTTTTACTCATCCAAGAGGAAACTTCGCCACCTGTCCGGAAAAAAATCTGTGATGCTGTTGCAGAATTGGCTAGGAATCTTATAGGTATACTATTAATTATATATATATATATATATATATATATACTATAATTTTGGTCCAGAACTCTGTGTCCGACTTAAGGGCAAGTCATAGAAAGATCTGTATTTCTCTGGACGATGAAAGGTAGAAAACAATCCCGCCGTTCATTGACCAAAGTCTTTATATATTAAATCATTTATGTATTGTAAGATTATGCATAAACTACATGTATTTATAAATTTTAATAGTTTTATTTTTATCTTAAGTGTGCGTTACTTATTTTTTAATGATTTAAAGTGACACTGTGACGGACAAAAGGGAAAATTGACAACAGTAGAATTTTTGATGACACATGCAAATTTTGTTCAGTTCTTCAAGATTTAAGGTTTCAAATAATTACAGGTTTCAGAACCTAAAAAATCTAATTTAATGGAGAAAAATAAAAGTAAACAAAATCTTTGTATAACCCATCACAAAAATATTGCTTCACTTCTTCCTCTTTATTGTGCGCATGCGCTGAAAAGTTGAAGAATTTACCGTGGTTTCAATTCCATAGATATAAATGTTGGAAGACTGAGACTTTTGATACAATCTTCAAAAAAGATGATCATAACTTATTCCTTACTTCTGCTTGCCCCAATTCAATGTTGTTTACAAGTTTCATGCTAAAAATAAAGGACGCGTGTCCTTGACATTGTTGACATTGACGATAAAAACAAAGCAATAGATACTACATTTGCTTTTCCGGCACTTATATTTTGCAGTTTTTTTCTTGCTTTACAGTGCAGCTGAGTTGACAAAACTTCGCTATATTCATATTTCACAGAAATCTTTTGTTTTGTGATACAATTTTCTTAAAAGAAACACATGGTTTTGACTCATTATGCAACTTTAAAATTATATATCGATGTCATTTTTAAAAAAAAAAAAAATATTGATTGAAACCAGGGTAAAACATAAGATCATTGATTTGATATTGTCATCCGATTCTGTCAAAGACTTGTACCGACTTATAAGTGGGTCAATGGCAAATCGCTCCAAAATAACTGCAAAAAATACAACCGACTTATGCGTGAGTACATGTATATATGGTAAAATGAATTTCAAACAGATGAAGGAAGAGATAACGAAGAAAATCTAGTTTTAATTTTTGTGAGGCATTTTGCGCTTGTACTTTAATGTTTATGATCTCTTCAAGAGACAATGTTTGATTTTATTATTTGTGTTGTTTAAAGATGATGAAGACAATGTAACTTGGCCAGAGGTTCTAAAGTACATGTTTGAATGTGCTAATTCTGCTGATCCAGGTCTGCGAAGTTGTGCTCTCCACATTTTTGGGTAAGTATGTGTGAAAAACAGAGATTACCTTCATTGTTTAGGACGTTGTATAGTGTTATGAACTTCACTAAATGGCACCATGGGTATTGGAATAAAATTAATACATTTTAATGATTAAAAGTATGTGATATCATTAAATTATTACAACTGATGGTCAGACAAGTCAATGTTTTTCCAAAGTACGAGACAGATATATTCCAGAGGTACATTAATGTGTGCATATTACACTATTTCAATGTTGTGTTTTCCAGTCAGGTCCCAGGGATATTTGGAAACCAACAGGCTCACTATTTAGATGTTATAAAACAGATGTTGACGAGGTGTTTAAATGACACAGGGAATTTCGAGGTGCAGTCGGAGGCCGTCCAGGCCATGACGGCTTTTCTATCAACCAATGATAACTCTCCAACTCTCTTGGCACTGTTCAAAGACCTCGTTCCACCCATGATTCAGGTAAAGGAAATGGACTTCACTTGTTAATATACTCATTCAGTGATTGAAATTGATCTGTAAAACAAGTTTTGATTGGTTGAAGGCTCTGTGAGGACAAGCTTATGATAAAGCTGTTTATTTTAACAGTTAATTAATCAGAGTGTGAGCTCTCAGGAAGATGATGCCCTGCTGAAATGCTTGATTGAATTGGCAGAAAATGTGCCAAAAGTTTTGAGATCTCATATGGAATCTATTTTCCCATTTTGCTTGAAGGTAAGTACATGTACACTACCCAAAAATTACATCTATTAGTGTAAATCTTGTGGTGAGTGCTATAGGTTACCAATATTTGGATCAGAAGTTCAGTTTGCACCAAGACTTATTCTTTATGATTATTCCAGCAATTCCACAGAATATTGCCCAATGTTTCTATTACCAAGAGATCATTGCATAATCAGTTAGCTTCTATTTTATCATAAATGGAATTGCTGAAAGTATAAATAAAATTGTTGGATATTTGTGTTCTTTTTAGATTGTTTCAGACTGTAATTTGGAGGATTCTTGGAGACAGCTGGGGTTGGAGGTCATCGTTACCTTGTCAGAGACGGCACCAGCAATGGTGCGGAAAAATGCCAAGTTTATGCCACTTCTAGGTATTTGTGTGATTAGTCCTGAAACTGCTTTTACTGCAGAGTATAATGTACAGTGCACATTATTCCCTCCAAAATATATCCAGTTCAAGTGGGCAAACAGAAAAACTTTCTTTTCCCCTAAGGCTAATTGTGCAGGTAAATTTTATATCCTATAACTACTTATGTCAACATAGAAAGCTTGCAACATAGAATTGTAATTCCTGATATCTTGATACAGTGCCCCAGGTGTTGGCCATGATGGTGGACTTGGAGGAGGAGCCGGACTGGTCCGTCCAGGATGAGCCTGAGGAAGACGACACAGACAGGTGAGTACAGGTGTACTTAGAAGTTTTATGCTGTTAAATTCAGAAAAGAGTTCATTATTTGTTTGTAACTCAAGTCTATATTTTTTCAGAAAAACATTTTCACAGATAATTATTATTACTGTTATTAAAAAAACAAATAATCCATTCTTTGGTAGGGAATTTAGGTAACTTCTGCTAAGAACAGAATATAGATGTTGAAGTTTCTAAATCTTGAATTGCTTTGTAGCAATGCGATAGCAGCAGAGAGTGCCTTAGATCGGTTGGCCTGTGCACTTGGAGGAAAGACCATGCTGCCTCACATCTTGTCAAATGTTCCTCAGATGTTACAAAATAGTGAGCTTATAACACACACATGTACTAAAGAAAATGATATTAACATATGATTTACACCAGCAAGTGTTGTAGGAGTTATATTATTAATAACCCTATGGTTAAATTTCAAGATATACTGTATAGATTTTAAGTCCTTGCAATTTAAAGATGGATTTATGAACAAAAAGTTAGCATCATTGAAATGAATATTTTGAGGCAACTTCACACATTAAAATGAAATATAACTGACTGTTGTAGATGACTGGCGATACAGACATGCAGCACTTATGGCCATCTCAGCTTGTGGTGAGGGATGTCATCAACAGATGGAAACCATGCTGGGAAACGTGTTAGAAGCCATAATGCCATTCCTCAAAGATCCAGTAAGACTTGGGCAAAAGTAATGTGTATATATTTATACATGATAGACACAAAGCTGTAGAGTAGGTTGTGTTTGTTGGCAGGAATGTCAATAATTTTAAATGCTAAGTCAGAGTGTAATTACACATAAAAGTTTTAATTTTCATGATTTAGTTAATTTGTTCTCTGTCTACTAAATTCAGAAAAAAAGTTATGTAATGTTTTCATCATTGTAGCACCCAAGGGTCAGGTATGCAGCTTGTAATGCCCTAGGACAGCTGTGTACAGATTTTGGTCCAGTCTTTCAAAAGAAGTTCCATGACAAGGCAAGTTCTACATATAGAATTCAAATTTTGAATGTTGGCGATGGGGGGTGGGGTGTAACTTAATTTTTCAAAGTTGCACTTATGAGAAAGTTATAAGAGAATGAATGAATTGAATGTTTCTTAGAAGTAAGCCTAAGGTTTCTCTTTCAAAATTAAGAAATTGCATTTTGAAGCTAATGGTTAATATTTAAATTTTCAGTTAGTTCCTAGTTTGCTTCAAGTGCTGGATGACAATGCAAATCCTCGAGTCCAAGCACATGGTGCCGCTGCACTGGTAAACTTCAGTGAGGAATGCCCTAAAGCTATCTTGTCACAGTATCTAGATGTCATCATCCTTAAACTGGAAGAAGTTCTCAACAGCAAATTTAAAGAGGTGAGAATGTAGCTTAACTTCATTTTGCTAAATACATGTATCTACTTGTTAGCTTTTGCATGCCAACAATTGACATCTTTTTTATGCAAATCACGAAGGAAAATTTGTTCACATATATTTATATGATCCATTGAGACTTCTATTATAAAGTGATTGACTAGTTTGCAACTACAAGCTCAAGTCAGCTACTAACTTTGATGATCATTGTGGCACAAGGAGAAAAAGAAAATTATAGTAGTTTTGTATCATTTAATGTTATCTTTGGGGTGAAAAAAACTCAAGTGGTATTTAGATTTGTACACTTTGAATTTAGCTGATGGAAAAAGGAACAAAGATGGTTTTAGAGCAGATTGTGACTACCTTAGCATCTGTAGCAGATACAGCTGAGGAGAAATTCACATCTCACTATGACAGGTTCATGCCCTGTCTGAAGTACATTGTACAGAATGCTGTTCAGCCAGAGTTACGGTTACTGAGGGGGAAAACCATCGAGTGTATAAGTCTGATAGGATTGGCTGTTGGAAAAGAAAAGGTGGGCTGATTTCTATATGTTTGTCAACTTGAAAGTCCCCCCTCCCCCCCCCCCCCCCCTCCCCCCCAAAAAAAAAACAAAACAAAAAAAAATAGAAGTGCTTCTAAGTTTATAGCAAGTTTAATATGTTCTTTCATGCAAGATACATGTACATGCATTTTTTGAGGGTAAAAAAAATATGGGCATTGACAATCTTTCCATTTTTAACCCGGGAGATCAATAAATATTATATTTGAGTTTTTTTCCTTCAGTTTTTACAAGACTGCAGTGATGTCATGCAGCTTCTTCTAAAACATCAAACAACCCAGGAGGAAATGGCTGACGATGACCCCCAGGTGAGTTCTAAAGATATTTTATTTTGATAAAAATGGGAGGCACAGCTGTACCTGTGTTATCCTGTTGAACTTCCCAATGCAGAAAACTGCAGTTTACACAAATTTCATGATAATATTGCAGTTACAGAAATATGGTTTTTGGGAAAGTATTTAAGTAAGCCAAGGAATTCTGGATGCTTGTCAAAGTATTGGGAGAACATATAGGTGTTATAGTATTAAAAATTTGGGAATTATATGTACTTTTCAGCTTTCATACATGATCTCAGCTTGGGCTAGAATGTGTAAAATCATGGGAAAGGAATTTCAGCAGTACCTTCCTATTGTCATGGGCCCTGTTCTCAAAGCAGCATCACTCAAACCAGAAGTGGCCTTGTTAGACAGTAAGAATTACATTGTACATTGTAAAGTCAATAAAATGTAGTGAGAATAAAAAGGGAAAAAAATCAACATTTAACATGATTTGTATCCCCTGTAAACTTTGGGGAAAAAATGAACAAAATAAACTTCTGAAATCAATTGGATATTTTCTATAGATGTGATCTTCAACTTTCAAAATTTGAAAGAGTAAAATATAAAAAAAAAATCTGTTTCTTTGTGTATTTTCATGGGTGTGTAAATGAATGAATGTAAAATAAATGCAATGATGAATTACAGGTGAAGAAATTAAAGACATGGAAAGTGATACTGAATGGCAGTTTGTTACTGTAGGTGATCAGGTATGTCCAGGTTTGTCACTATTTCTGGTAATTTCAGTCTATGCGAAAGTCTAAAATTTTTACAGGACATACGGTCTGGTAAAAATATATACTTTACCAGACCAAGCATTTACTTACCAGACTGACCTTTTTCTTTAAATTAATTCATACATCATTATGATTCAGAGATTGAAAAGGGGGGGGGGGGGTGTATTCTCACTGTTAAATTGAACCTTAAATAGATCCAGAGTTGAGATTATTAAAAAAAATGATTTTATTGAAATGAACAAACTTATTATTGTTTTTTTTGTTTAAAGGTAGTACATATGACAAATGCAAACAATTTTTCTTTTTCTGGTTATTTGATACATACAGACGAAATATACAGTGTCAAAGATTTTTTTCTAATAAAACTTAAGAAAATGCACTTTAAAATATATTTATTTATCTCCTGAAGTAACTCATAATAGTTACTCTTGTTTAGTAATGAAAATAATCTACCCAACCGAATCTACGTATGAGCTATCTATAGATCTATATTCCATGACAGAGGAAATTCGAATTAGAAATAAACGAGATATAGATTAAAATTAATCATGCATTACTGCTAAATGGATCGAATAAAGGATATGTGTGGAAAATAAGACCATATGAACATGTAAATTCAGATTTTTAGGCCTTATTTTTTCATCGGACATTTGGTCCTGTACCCTGAATTTTTTTACCAACCCGAACCAATTTTTACCGGTAAAAACCGACGGTCCGGTGACTTTTGCATAGACTGTAATTTCATTGTGTATCAAAAGTCTTGATTTGGTTCCCTTTACCTGATTTGAACTGCAAATATAGCTTTTGACTGTGATTTCTGTTTGCAGCAAAGTTTTGGGATTCGAACTGCTGGTCTTGAAGAAAAGGCTACTGCTTGTCAGATGTTGGTATGTTATGCTAGGGAGTTAAAGGAGGGTTTTGCAGAGTATGCAGAGGAGGTAGTGAAAATCATGGTCCCATTACTCAAGTTTTACTTCCATGATGGTTAGTTTTACTCTCTTTGTATCAGTTATCATTTTCTCTACTGTTTAAGCAGGAATAGTAAAGTGAATTCAATCATCTATACATCAATTTCTCAGAGGTAATTCAGATTATGCTCTTAAAATAGATATACGAATTGCTGCATCGGAGAGTTTGCCGTACCTGATTGAATGTGCCAAGATCAAGGGTGACCAGTATGTTGCGGAGATGTGGCAGTTTATTTGTCCCAGTTTACTGAAAGCCATTGAAATAGAACCAGAAAATACTGTTTTACCAGAGCATATGAACTCACTTGCCAAGGTAAAATCTGTTTTCCATATTTACATGTATGTTGTTATTTCTTGCCCCCAACTTTTTATAATATTTAACATTAAGCAGTCAATCTGTATATCTGTTTCAGCCTTGTATGATGTAGTCCGAGATTGTAGAAATAGCTTGTTATATACATAGTTGCCAACTCACTCGATTTCGTCGGGTAACACCCGATTTTTCGACCCTTAACCCGATTATTTTTAGCTCACCTCGACGAAGTCGAGATGAGCTTATGCTATACTCCCGGCGTCGGCGTCGGCGTTAGCGTCGGCGTCCCAGGTTAAAGTTTTAGGAGCAGGTCCATTCCCAAGTAACTATAAGCCCTACCTGGATCAAACTTGCATGGGTGATGCATCTAGGGATGGACACTACCACACTTGCTTCGGATGCTGGATCTGACCTAGATTTTTCGGATGAGTGACCAGGTTAAAGTTTTAGGAGCAGGTCCATTCCCAAGAAACTATAAGCCCTACCTTGACCAAACTTGCATGGATGATGCATCTAGGGATGGACATGGCCACACTTACTTCGGATGCTGGATCTGACCTAGATTTTCCGGATGAGTGACCAGGTTAAAGTTTTAGGAGCAGGTCCATTCCCAAGTAACTATAAGCCCTACCTGGACCAAACTTGCATGGATGATGCATCTAGGGATGGACACTACCACACTTGCTTCGGATGCTGGATCTGACCTAGATTTTCCAGATGAGTGACCAGGTTAAATTTAAGGAGCAGGTCCATTCCCAAGTAACTATAAGCCCTACCCGGACCAAACTTGCATGGATGATGCATCCAGGGATGGACACTACCACACTTGCTTCGGATGCTGGATCTGACCTAGATTTTCCACATGAGTGAATTTTAGCCATATTTTAACCAAATTAGCATGGATGATGTATCTAGGGATGGACACTTCCAGACTTGCCTTGGATTCTGAATCTGACGTACATTTTCCAGATGAGTGACCAGGGTAATTTTTTTGGAGTAGCTATATAATATTATGGCCTGTTATGATTAAAATTGCATAGATGGTGCATCTAAGGATGAAAACTTCCAGACTTGGTTTGGATGTTGGAACTGACCAAAATTTTCTTGATTACTTAACAGGTCAAAAGTTTTTTGAGCAGGTCTATAATTAAATCAAACTTGCATGGACATTGATCTTGGGATGTACCCTAACTAGAAAAAAAATATGATGTGAAATTTGCCTTACATGTAGATAACATTCGCCGAGGTGAGCTTCGTAATCTTTGATTACCTATGTTTTATATGACACGGCGGGTTATGCTTTTCACCCGATTTTTGCCAAACAACCCGAAAATCTCCCGATTTTCGGATTTGGTTTGTAAATTAGGTTGCACTTTTAACTTCCAGTTACAACCCAAGCTTCGATATACGTAAGCAATGCCGATGGCTATGTTTAGTAGGCCGTGTACCAGTGCAGGTGTAAACAATTACCCAAGAGTTGTTTTGACAAATCAAAGTTTGAAGTCAATTTAAAATGGCTTCAGATAGAACGAGATCGCTATCAGGGCCAGCAGGAACAAATTGAACCAAGAAAAAGAGAAACGATATTTATGTACATATCAAGGAATCTTGGAAAACAACTTTCATTAGGTAAAATAAAGTGTTTGAAGATAGTGTAGGCATAACTGTAAATTTAATAGCACTTGTTAATTAAATGAATTCGGGAAAGGAAAAGTAACTTCAAAACCAAGATTGGAATACTTTCAAATTTAACACAAACTTTCCATGTGCTTCAAATCAGCAATGCAGATTCTAAAAAACTTTCCTTTAGAAAAAAAAGCACACTTAATTCAGGTCAATACTGAAAAAATGAAACCTTCAGTGCTCTTTTAGCATTTAAATTTAATCAATATATAATAATTTTTTGTCATTGTAAGCTAAAGCCTTATTTTAATAAAATAATTCTCAATACACAAATACTTATATATACATATATATTAATTTAATCATGGTAAATGTGTCGTGAATGTCGTTACGCGCTATGACCAGATTTTTTACTTTCCAAATCTGGTCATGACCAGATTTTTACATGTTGAAGATTGGCAAGTATGGTTATATACAACAATGTCAGAGCCCATACATGCTAAGAAATGACATAAAGGAATAATCAATACAAAGATTTATGTTGTACATGTTTATTTTACAGTGCATTGAAAAGCTAGGCAGGGGCTGTTTATCAGCAGAAAATTTACAACTTCTGGTCCAGCTGATGGAGAAACAGTTAGTGGCACACTTTAAAAGACAGGAAGAAAGACATGGTCAGTAAACCTACAGAACGAGTATACCCTTATTACATGTAATCTGGTTATTTGCTTTAACGTGTCTTTTATACTTTGTTAAGTCATGGTAAAAGGTTTTGTGTATTAATAGAAAAACGGAGAGATGAAGACTATGATGAAGATGTAGAGGAGACTTTATTAGATGAGGTATGTTTAAAAACTGTTTCCAGACTGCAAAGTCATTTATAGTATGGTGGATTTATTTTAAGTTTCAGCCTTTGACAAGTTACATTGATATAAATGCCAGAAGAATGATGTATACTTTTGCATATATTTGAAGGCTTGTCCTCATGAAACTTCCCCCTTTGCTAGATAGTATCTGACTTCTGGCCTTTATATGTACATTGTAGATAGCAACAATCCTGGGGTATGCCATTTGGAAATGGTGTCTATCTTTAAAAATTTGTCACAGATAACTCTGTATCTTTTTTTTGTAGAACATTTTTCATTTTGCTTCAATTTATCATAAATGAATAAGCTAGATGTATATTATATAGTCATCAAGTCACTGATAGGAATTGTGCTGGTCAAAATATTTCATGATATCTGCTGTGTCAAAATATGTTTGCTGAAATGAACAAGACAATTTCAAACTTTAAAGTATTAAATGACTCTCATTCTATTGTCTCTGACAGAGAAATAAACTTTTCAACATGCTTTTTTTTTCCCCGGCCAAGCTCTTAATGATCATCCTGATTTCCCCCAAGTCATGAGGTCATTAAATAAGATGTTGTGATCACCCTGGTTTCCACCAAGTCACTTAGTCATCAGATGAGAGGTTGATCAGTTCATTTATGCATAGGTTAATGTCCAAGTACCTCTCCATTCCTTAAAAGTAATGTACATAATAGAAATACCACGTTCTGCATGTGAATTACAACTCTCCATCCCCCCCCCCCCCCCCCCCCAAAACAAAACCAAAAAAAACAGAGTGCTCAAAATGAAGTGATGTTTGAAGTGGATTTTAATTTAACATACATGTACATTTCAGAAGAATGATGTATACTTTTGCATTACATTTGAAGGCTTGTCTTCGTGAAACTTCCCAATTTGCTAGATAGTATATCTGACTTCTGATAAATGTATAGCAATGAACATACATGCCAACTTTCCCGATTTAGGCGGGATCCTCCCGATTTTACCCTTTAATCCCGCTCTCCCGATCAGGAAAGCAAAATTGCCCAAAAATCCCGATTTGAAAATATTCAACCTAAAATTTCCGATTTTCTGAGTTTCCCTACCGCAATATTTTGTCAATCGGGAGTAGAATATCAGACTTGTTTATTCAATGCACACAGATTAGTCTCTTTGTTTATTTAACGCATGCAGAGGTGTTAATTAGCCACAGGAAATCACTTCTCGCTTGAACGCACACAGCTGTCCAGGTACAGGTAACATAGCCTGGAGCAGTTAGAGGATTAAACTTTTCAGTCAGAAGGGGTATGCATATAGTGAAACACATAGATTTAGGGTATAATTAAATATCATTTTATTAAAAACAAAAATTGAATACAGTGATATGATAAACTAACAACAAAATCGGAATTAATCCATGTTTCGTTTTTTAAAAACGAAAGTAGAAAACAACAAAGCATAGCTGCTGATTTTAAGATATTGTAAAGTTTACCGGTTAAAATAAGATGAAAATAATTTAGATGAAACAACAAAGTCTTATACCCTCAAGTACACTGAATCCCCCCCTGCCCCCAATGTAATATGACAACGGAATACCCACATGACACTGCCAATGTTATGCAAAAGTTCATCATGTTTATAACAATTTTAATTTTTGTTTGGGATAGGGGTATCCTTGTTTTAAATAATTGATGATCTCAAGAGTAAATTTATTTCTTCAACTTGTTTTGTGTGTGTGATTAAATTAATCATCATGATGTCTACTTATTAAAAGGGAATAAAATGACACTTCAAAACAAACAAATTTTCTTATCTTTCTCTCTCTCTCTCTCACCCTCACACACACAGTGCATTGTAATTTTTCAATATTTCTTTCAATCTAATGTCTAATTAGGAAATTCTAATTGTGTAAAATGTAAATAGAGAATTTTACAAATGTTTCCCAGAAACTGTACAGTAACAAAACCTCATATATTTCTAAAACTTTACAACAAAATTTACTGAACTGAAAGTTGTACATTTTCACATTTTTCACCAAATTCTGTGTCTTTTCAAACATAATGTTGTTAAACTAAACAGATATCACTTCTTTAGTGAGAGAGGTACCTATTTAAGCAAAAGATATTTGAATTTTGGAAGGAAAAAATTTGTTTGTATTATTTATTCTTAAATTGTATTAACAAGTGATATTGATATTATAAATAATAAAAAAAAAATGGGATAAACATTTATTTTCACGACAAAATGTCGCGAATTTAAAGCTTTGAAAATTGTCGTCACGCGCAAAATCCCCCATGGGAATTTTCAAAAGTTGGCATGTATGAATGAAGTAGACTTCATTAGTAGTCTAGTAGAGAGACAAAACTCAGTAAAAGCAGGTCTCAGAGTGAATTCAACAAGCTCTTTGTTTGTCCAACTCTGCTATGATAAATGTTGAATGCAGTGTAAATTGTTTCATTTTAGCCTTTGCAAAAATCCACATATATGTTCAAAAGTATTTTTAAAGAAAAAGTGGTGTTTTGTATGAGGTACAATAAACCAGAGAAGGTTTTAAAGGAAATAGGAAAGAAATTAAGATGCTTTGGTGTATTTGTATACAATTTAAAGAGATTTATTTCAAAACTTAAGAGAAAAAAGAATTGTGAAAAAAAAGAAATTTATTTCTCTAATCATTATTTTATATGTATGTCAACAACAATGGCTAGGAATGCTATAGGAAACTGTTCTTTCTAGCTTTGGATATTACAAATTTGAGAAAATAACTTAATTTACGTGGAACAGATCTGATGTAACTACCTGAAAGGTCATGGCATTTTGAACAGGAACTAGAAAAATAGAGAATACATACTTGTTAACATCATAACTAGTAATGCCAAAGATTTTCTGCTTTGTGAGTACATTATCTCCAACAGTGAATCATATAGGGGACATAACTCTAGCAATGGTTGGGATATAGCAAGTATTGAATCATGAAGGGGAAATGCCTGTTATACGTTGCACCATCACACAGTTAATGTTGAAGGAAAAGAGCATGTCGGACTGCAAAACTGATGTTTTTATATTTTGAATTTAAAAAAAAGAGTTCAGAAGAAACTGAGGAATGATGATTATTCAATTGCGCATTGAAAAAAATAAATACATGTATCATGAAAAGATTTAAAGCGATGTTTTCTGACCTCAAATTTCTTCCTGATAAAAGAGGAAAAAAATAAACTTTTTGACAAGCTGTAGTGAACAAGTGCAGTAGAACTTCATGTTCACAACTCTGTGTCTTAATGTTAAATAAATGTTATTTCAATGAATTATGACCTGCAAATGAAAGGACAAATTATACAGACACTCATGTATATTAATCTTATAAAATATAACACACAAGGAACTTTGATAATGCAAAACTTAATGTTCACTCAAAAACAATTGTACAAAACAAATAGAGAAGGCTTTAATCTAATCCAGTGAAACTGACATAGAATACACTTCCAAGCCCTTTTGCTATGTGGATACTTTGGAAGTTCTATTATTTCCAGTGTGGATACTTTAGAAATCTATTATTTAAACATGTATATACTGATTATCTTTTGCATTTCCTCCCATTTATTAAAAGTTGGTTATTTATAAGAAAACTAAGGTGCAACCATTACTCATTAAACAAATATTGTACATAAGCACCAGAATTTAAGGATCAAATTATTCATGCTAAATGACCCAAGACATGATGAATATCAATTGCGCATTGAAAAATTTAATGCATATAAATGAAAAATTTTGTAAGCGATGTTTTCTGACCTTGGGTTCCTCAAGCTTAATTAAATTATTGATTAAAATAAGTGTGCATTCATATTTTTGTTTATGAGTGTGTATGTTTCATTCATCAGTAATGTTTTATGTGTAGGATGATGAAGATGTATACATTTTGAGCAAGATTTCGGACACCATTCATGCCTTATTTGGAACACATAAAGAAGAATTCCTCCCAGTCTTTGAACAACTGCTCCATCATTTTGTCAAATTACTGGTAAGCATACATGTATCTTCAATCAAAGTGCATTCCATAAAATTGAGCTATTTTGCATTAACAGTAAAACATGCTTATAATTAAGTGCCAAGGACAGACAAGTTTACTTCATTACAAACATATTTCGTTATATCCGTTAAGTTCACAACATATTTTAAAGCCACAGAGAATTAAAGTCACTTCACTGTAAGCATCAGTACATATAAGCATGTTTCCTATTAGCATGTTTTACTGTAATACCTAAAAGATAAATTTGATGCTTGAACATGGTAGAGACTAAGTTCCCAATGTTTCAGGGTGCTGATAGGCCATGGCCTGACAAACAGTGGGGACTCTGTATCTGGGATGATGTAATAGAGCATTGTGGAGGTGTAAGTACACTCCAAAAGAAAGAAAATTAGTTTTGTATGACTTATCACACCATTGCTATTTCACTGAAAAGTGTGGAATTCATTTTCTCTATGAAGTGAATATATATAGCCTTTTATTGTGATACATATATGTATCGTATGTATTTGTATTTTCAGCATTCTGTGAAATATCAGGAGTACTTCTTAAAGAGCATGATGGAATATGTTTGTGACAAGCAGCCCGAGGTTCGGCAGGCTGCAGCATATGGTGTTGGAGTTATGGCCCAGTTTGGCACTGAAGCATATGCAACTACGTGTGCAGGTAAAGACAGCAATAGTTGAAATGGTTGGAAAAAAAGGAAGACATAATTTAAAGAAATAGAATTGTTGTGGCTCCTAGATAAAGTTGTAGGTCATGAGAGTCACTCTCCCGAAATTGTGAAAATCATAGTCAAGTTGTGAAAAACATGGTCAACAGTTAAGGCCCAGTGGTGGGGCTAAATTGGGCATACATTGAAAATTCATCATGCATATGAAAATGTTCCTTATTCCTAGATGTTAAGCAAGCAGACTATACGAGTGAAAATTATAAACTTAAGCCTTTTACTAATTTATAGTATTTGGTCAGTGGGTCAAAGCAAATTTGATCTATTTAAAATACTCTTCACTCTACTACATCTGAGCATCTTGGAGATAAACTTTGTGCAGTGTGATAAGAAACAAAATTCCTCAACCAATTTTGTAAAATTCATGGCACATGAATCCAGAGTTTCAGTTCAGGGTGGGACAAAGTTGAGAAGCTCATGGCACTCAGGTGAATGTCAAGCCCTGGGCCTCTTGTTGCAGATATAATCAGTGAAGTGCAACTATTTGTTTTTGGAAACTTTTCATGTCATAAGATTTATGAGAACTTTCAAATGAGTAAAAGTCTGTTTCATTTACAGAGGCCTTGCCCTTACTTGTAAAGGTGATACAGGACCCAGAATCTCGATCTGTAGAAAACATCAACCCTACAGAGAATGCCATAGCAGCTGTAACAAAGATCTGTAAATACAACAGCAGTCAGATTAAACCGAACGAAGTCCTACCTGTCTGGTTCAGCTGGCTTCCTGTGTGGGAGGATGAAGACGAGGCTGTACATACATACAATTATCTCTGTGATCTGATTGAGGCGTAAGTCTGTTACATACGTACAATTATCTCTGTGATCTGATTGAGGCATAAGTTTTCGTACAGTTATCTCTGTGATCTGATTGAGGCGTAAGTCTATGTACAATTATCTCTGTGATCTGATCGAGGCGTAAGTCTATGTACAATTATCTCTGTGATATGATTGAGGCGCGAGTTTGCTATGTACAATTATCTCTGTGATCTGATTGAGACGTAAGTCTACATACAATTATCTCTGATCTGATCAAGGCTTAATTTTGTTTAGGGCTGAAACAATTCACCGAAATATTGATATTTTTCAATATTACTGCTCTGTTCAATGTTCAATTCACTATCTCGATTTTTGGTTCAGTACATTTCTTTTATAATCGGGTTTGGTTACTCCTTGAAATAGATCGGGTTCAACCTCATTTTAATAGTTTGACACACACAAGGGAGAAAATTGCGATGGAGAAAGTTTCAGAGCAGGCTGCCACTGCTAGTATTGACACGAACAAAGTGCTCTTTTAATCTGCAGAAGCACAAGTAGTGCTCTTTATTATATCACCACCTATTACTTGCCTGTTGAAATCTGAATACGTTTTCCTTAACCTTATGATTTCTTTCTTTTTTAAAATGTATCGTATTGAAAAAATTGAATTGTGACACAAGTATTGCGATACGTACCGTATCGTGGTGGGGGCATATCATTTCAGCCCTAATTTTGTTACATACGTACAATTATCTCTGTGATCTGATTGAGGCGTGAGTTTGTTATGTACAATTATCTTTGTGATCTGATTGGGGCTTAAGTTTGTTACAGTAAGTTTGTTTCATATGTACAATTATCTGTGTGTTCTGATGAGGCCTAAGTTTGTTACATACAAACAATTATCTCTGTGTTCTGATGAGGGGTAAGTTTGTTACATACTTAGAATTATCTCTGTGATCTGATCAAGGCTTAAGTTTGTTACATTCATACAATTACATGTATCTCTGTTATCTGTTCGAGGCGTATAGATTCTTTGTGAGGATGATACGCATATCGATACGTATGAAGAAATATCGAAATATCAACAAAAAAATTCTAACATAGTTTTTCTTTGTTTACTTATTATTTTTGGTTTAATGTATGAAATAAATATGAAATACATAATAATTAACACCACTTGTGTAAAATATTTTTGTTTCACAACAGATGTACAACAGATATACAACTTCTTTGAATAAATGATTCTTATTTGTGAAGAAATGTTTTGTTCATTTCAGAAGTGTAAATGTGGCACTTCATTCAAACTTAAACTGATCAATGTCATTTGTTTGCCATTTGTAGAAACCACCCCTTAATATTAGGAAATAACACTGAAAACCTGCCTCGTATTATCAGCATCATTGGGGAGGCGTTGAGTCGGGAAGCTGTTAGCTCAGAAGATGACTGTTATCCCCGTATGTTGAACATTGTGAGACAAGTGCAGGTGAGAACGATATTACAGTGGAATGATAAAACATGATGAAAGCCTGTATTTTATCCTGGAAGCATTTATGCAGGAGAGGAAAATGCTGTAGTTTGCAAATGCCTTAGTCTGCAAATGGTCAATCTATTCGTGTCATATGTCTGTGACCAAAGTTTATCTCTGTTTCCCAATGAAGTTGACTTTGGACAGTTAATTTTACACATGAGGTAGATTTAGATATATCTATCTTTTCAAAAAAAAAAAAAAAAAAGTGGGGGCTACTTAGTTAAAATTAGTGTCATTTTTTTCTGTATCCTGCAGGGAAACCAAGAGTTATTCCAGGCTTGTATACAACAATTATCGGAGGAACAGAAGGAGGCATTATCAGAAGCTTTGTCCAAGGGCTGACCTTGAACAAACTAGTCCCTATACCAGACATTTTATCTTGGTGGTGTGTGGCAAAATATGGAAAGACATTGTGATCTAGCTTGGATAAACTGCTTAGCTTTTACCATTGCTGAAGACCAGGGCTTTCATAAACTATCAGGATTCGATCCTACAAACTTTATATTCTGTGCAATTGTTACCAATGCTGTGAATGTGTGAGTGTGTGTTTACTGATGAAATGTGACCTTTTTCAAAACCCAAAGGTGTACATACTGCTTTCTTCAAAGTTTGATACACCCCACCCCCACCCCTTTACTGAGCCTGTCAAACTTAAGGAGAGAGAAATGTGAACTCCCAGACTCTTGTTATTGTTAGACTTCTAGGCATAATTGACATCTAGACTGAGATAACGCAGTTTGAGATTAGTCAGACTCTGTTTATAGGAGTTTTAATTCTTAGAATTTCATTTTGCATGGTGCTGCAGGAGTATGAAGGAGGAAAATATTTGTTTCCTCACAAAAGTGTGAAGCTTCATGATAAATTCAATTCCTAAATGCTAGAAAAGGTTGTTTTCTTTTATAGAAGTAGATGATTTGGTAGTGTATATATATCTATATCAAAGTATTATTGAGTGAAAGCTTTGAGAAGTTTCAAGCACTTCTTTTTGTCAAAATATCCTTTTGTTATATCACTTCTCCTCTGTATTCTTAAAAAAAAGATTGTCATTCCAGTAATGAATTTTATTTAGGAGATTATAATACTGTGCTTGTATGAATATCAGTTGCAATCCATTTGTCGCCTTTGTTAAATGCTTATGTTGTTTTGGATTGTTTTTTAGAACATCCTTGTGAAAATGTACTTGTTATTATTTGCAGTTGAACTTCTGTATCTACAAACATTGATATCTCGAATACCATGGATATGTCAAAGTGCGCTGTAGTCCCAACCACTTTTTCTCCATTTATCTTCAGTATCTGAAATTTTGAAGGTTAATTATACTTGTACAAAGCAGTTTTTAAAAAAATCTTTTTTTGTCAGTACATAACTTTCTTGGTTTTATTACATTTAAAAACATATATATTTTTGGTGGAAATACATACCCTTGTTAAGTACATTGTCGTAGCAATACTTTTTGTCATATTCCAAATCTGCCATATTCCAAATATTTGGTTCAATTTTTACTGGAAATAGGTTTTATTAAAAATAATTTTTTAAACAAGTATAGACTATACTATTTGATCATTGATTTCAAATGAATAACCATTTTGAAATGTCTTGGAAGATTTTAATAATTTCATAACTTCTGCTGAATGTTTTTATGTGTAGCTGTTTGTGAAAACAAAATAGGAATACCGTAGCTTTGAATTGACTAATTTTCCAAGATTTGCATCTTTAGAACATTGAGGAACTGCTTTTGTTTGTTTCACTGACATTTGACACTATAGGAGTTGCAGTATGTGGAAATGGCAGAAAAATGTTAACAAATGAATTATATACTGTTATGATGATATGCAACTTATTAAAAATGAAAACCACACATTTTCTTACTTTTGTTATCAAAGGTTAATGTATCAAATTGTAGGAAATTGACTTCTGAAGTGTGATTGAAAAGTTAGGGAGAACTATAATTATTAGGTAATGACTTAAGTTTGAAATTTAAGTTATCTGTGCTAGCTTAACTGCACAAGGAGAAATAATGCAAATATCCTCCATATGCCATTTCATTTTTGTACAATATGTGCAGTATTTCAGTACAGGTGGTTTATGCTAGTATTGCTGGTATTGCTCCGAACAACAATCTTCAATGTAAAAATGTTGTAAGAGGCATAATACTGGTGAGTAAAGTGATTTCATGAATTGTTTTATATCAAAAGCTTTCACTTTCTCGGACTTTTTCAACATAAGAAAGCATATGTGGAGTAATTACTGGATGCTTCAGTCATGGTGTATTAATCATAGAGGTCGGTATAGTCACACACAAAGATGAAAGTTGAGATCTTCAGAAGTTTGTTGCTTCCAAACAAATGGTAATGGAGAGTTGTATAGAAGTGCTGTTACTAGTGGTACCTTTAGTTTTTATCTTTGTTTGCTTCATCAGGATTTTGGAACCAATGGAGCTTCTTTCGTTTTGTCTGTTGCCAATGTGCTGAGAGTAGAATTGAGAATAGGCATCAGAATGGGTCATCTGAAAATGGTGACATCAGTGCTCAGTCTTTAGCAACAAATCTTGCTGACTTGCAGCCAATACACTAATAAAGAACAACATTTTAACTCCAGTTTCTTGCAAAATATCTCTAGAGGTTTTGGGCACATTTCAATGATATTTGGGTGAAAAGAGTGCATTGGAGCAAGTAAGAATAGATTTAAGTTTGGGGAAGGTCCAATCAGAGATGATAATTTCTCTATTAAAATTACGTGTGTATAGAAATAAGTTGGGGGAAAAAATAGGGATAACTGGTGGCAAAAAAAAAAAGATGTCCATTGGTAGGCACTCTTAATGTATTTTGGTTTTGTAAGTAAAAGGATGTGACTTCCAATATTGACCAGTGCTTGAGTGGTACCCAGTAGCTCTTGACAGATACCAGGAAGCAAAAGGTTTCCAACAGAAGATGCAATTTATACTTTGTGAGATCTGGATGATGAGAATTATCTCCTTTTCCAGCACGGGCTAGTGCTAGTGACTCGGTGAACACAAGCACATAGCAAGTACACGGGAAGGATATCAGGAAAAATGCTGATGGCAATCATAGCATGTACCTACAGTTTCCTGTGAAAGTTTTACTTTGCAGAATTACATGTACATGTATCTGAAATAATGTGTTGCAGAAAGAACTGGCTTCTTGGCACAGGCTAGTGCTAATGAATGTGATACATGACCAACAGCAGGTACCAAGAAACCAAAGGTATGTCAGAGTGGGTTTTTCATGTCTTTGGTGTAAGTGTTGAGAGTGCAACTCCTTATACATTAGTGGTATTTGACAGATCCAAGTACCTACAAGACAAGAAAGGTGCAAAGGCACAAACAACAGCTGGTACATTTAGTTAACGCACCACTTTCATGAACTCAACTTTTCAAATTATTAGCAGGTAATCAAATATGGATTTGCATAAAATTGAATAATTTTATTTCTTTTTTCAAAAATTTCAGCAATAATGTATTTTGAATTTATATACATAATTGTCTCTTGCTTCAGGATGGTAACAATGACTTGGTTTCCCAGCACAGACTAGTGCTTATGATCATGTCCCATGAGCGCTTGACAAATACTAGGAAACCAAAGGTCATTCTGAATATCAGGTAAGCCTCTTGTTTTGAGTCTTGGTGGTGACTGTGTCTCTCTCCTCTCCCAGCACAGGCTAGTGCTAGTGACCAGATGCACACCAGCACATAGCAAGTACAAGGAAAGGATTAAAACAATTCACACAGCATTTGGCTGTTGCATTGTGTTAAATTATACTAAGCAGAACTACATTGAATCTGAAACAAAGTGATGCAGAGAGAGGAGAAAAAACCCATAGTTGCTGCTTTTTCTAAAGTTGTACTTTTGCAGCAGAGTTGCAGAAAGGATACGGTTTCCCAGCACAGGCTAGTGCTAATTATTGTGTCTCATTAGCACATAACAGGTACCAGGAAATCAAAGGCTCCCAGAGAATAAGGTAAGATACATTCATGTCTTTGACAAGTGTGATGAGAATGAAACTCCTTTCCTAGCATAGGAAAGTTCAAATGACCAAATTTACAGCAGACACGGCATGTAAAAATGGCATGTGTAAGAATGATTCACATAGTATGTGGCTGCAGTATATGTAACACAATAGAACTACATTATTTCTGAAATAAAATGATGCAGATCAAACATGACTTCTTGGTAAAGGGAATATGGTACATGACCACAAGCAGGTATCAAGAAACCAAAGGTCTTCCAGGATGGATAAATCTGGTTCTTTGCTTTACATCTTCTCTCAGCACAAACTAGTGCTAGTGGCCAGATGCACATCAGCTTCTAGCAATTTCAACGTAAAAATACTGATAATTATATATAACTGGTAGGCAACTACTTGTAGCTTTCTGTAATTGTTTTCTGAAAATTTGCCTTGCATGGCAGTATTCATGAATGCAGACGAGAGGATATGGTCTCCCACCACAGACAAGTGCTTATGATTTGAGCATCTAATGGGTGCCAGGAAGCCAAAGATCCCCTGGGGAGCTGGACACTTGTCTTTAGATTTTTGTGATGAGAATGAATCTCCTTTCCCAGCACAGACTAGTGCTAGTAATCAGATGCACACCAGCACAAAGTAGGTACAAGGAGAGGATAGAAAAAAGAAGTTACACATTTGGCAGGTGCTTGCTGTCTTTCTGAAGAGACTGTGCTCACATTTCAGCACAGGTAGTGCTTGTGAATGACTGAGACTAACACAGAACATGACCTGAGATGATTGTAGCAGTATAAAATTGATGGTATGTTCACATTATGACTGCGGCTAGACAGCCACAATGATAAGTAGGTCCTTTTTCTAGTCCTTAATGCTATCATCTGCTGACGAATAAGGAGAAAAGAGCAAAAGATTGTTATAACAGGAAGAATTACCAACAGTAATTGAATGTTTTCATGAACTAAAGTCTCCATTGAGATTACCAGGTAATTTTATTTTGTGATAATTAATTTGCATTTCACTACAGGTAACTTATTTATTTCTGCAATATTTATAATTACAATGTACTCACATGATTGTCTCTTGCTTCAGGATGGTAATGAGGTCTTGGTTTTCCAGCACAGACTTGTCCCATGAGCACTTGATAGATACTAGGAAGCCAAAGGTCCCCTGAATGTGAGGTTATCCTTTTGTTTTGGGTCCTGGTGGTGAGCATGTATCTCCTCTCCCAGCACAGGCTAGTGCTAGTGACCAGATGCACACCAGCACATAGTAAGTACAGGGAAAGGATAGCAAAGGAATGCACATTTATGGCAAGTAATTGCAGTCTTTGTGAATGGACTGTACTCCCATCTAATCACTAGGTGGTGCTGGTGCATGAGGAAGCCTTAGCATAGAACATGAGCAGAGAGGTTGGTGCAGAATTAGAGAGTGGGTTGATTCTTTTGTGATGGAAAGAGACAGAAATTAATGAACTTGAAGAAGTCATTATTATAACTAGTGTTGTCCCCTACCAAAAAATGTCAGGAGATGGTAATAACTTTGGGACAACACAACAGTCTATACAATTTTGAACATAGAATACACAATAATTTGTTTAACTTATGAATTGATGCATTACTTACTAGCTTAAGGGATAGGTATGAGAAAAAGGTTTCCCAGCACAGGCTAGTGCTTATGCACATAATCCATGAGCACTTAGCAGGTACCGGGAAATGGTAAAATTCCTCTGAATATAATGTTATTTATGTTGCTCACAGAGTTCCTGAAGGATAAGAATAAATCTCCTCTCCTAGCACAGGCTAGTGCTAGCAACTAGAGGCACGCCAGCACATAACAAGTACCAGGAAGGGACTGTGCAGATGGTATGAAACTACCAGAAAGTGCGCTTCTCTGCCAAAGTGCTTACAAGGTTGCATCCCACTTGCAGAGTTGCAGAGAAAACAAAAGTTTCCTAGCACAGGTTAGTGCTTAAGGTTGTGACTGATGAGCACATAAAAGGTATATGTACTAGGAAACCAGGAGCCCTGCAGAAATTTTGTTTTCTAAGTGCTTTATGGTGACTACAAACTCCTTTCCCAGCACAGACTAGTGCTAGTGACCAAATACACACCAGCACACAGCAAGTACAAGGGAAGGATTTGGAGATGGCAGAAAAGTAAGTGAAGGTTTTTTTCTGTGAAAAGTATACTCGGAAGATTGTACCACATTCACACTGTAGAGGAGATATGGTTTTCTAGCACAGGCTAGTGCTAATGAATATGACCCACAAGCACTTAGCAGGTACCAGGAAATCAAGGTTTCAAGGAATGAGATAATTAAGGTACTTTTCAAGTCTTAAATCTGATTGTTGAGGATAAATGTGAGCATGGGCATTTATACAACAGATCAAACTAATAAAGGAAAATAGCAGGTAACTTAACCTTGCAGTTGCTGTTTTCTCAAAAGTTGTATTTACTATCCATTAAATCCCATGTGGAGAGTTGCAGAAAGGACATGGTTTCCCAGCACAGGCTAGTGCTAATAATTGTGTTTCATTAGCACATAACAGGTACCGGGAAATCAAAGTCCACAGAGAATGAGGTAAGATACTTCCATGTCTCTTTGATGAGAATGAAACTCCTCTCCCAGCACAGGCTAGTGCTAGTGACCAAATGCACACCAGCACACAACAAGTACAAGGAAAGGATCAAGAAATAGGAAGACACTACAGTTCTTAATTTCTATGAAGTTTTTTTTTTTTTTTGGTACTCAGCACATCGTATCACAAATGGTGATGTAGAAAAAACATGTTTCCCAGCACAGGCTAGTGCTTATGACTTTGACTCATGAGAACATAACATGTACCAGGAAACCAAGATTTTTGGGAGAAAAAGAGGA